CCCTGCGATGTGGCAGGAGTGGGCTAAAGATGAAGCTTCCCATTCATCAGGGTACTTAAATTTCTTCTTCTTTTCCTTAGATAATAAGTGTTTGTTTCATTTGATTTTTCTTTTTCCTTTTTTTGTTTCCTTTGTTTTGTTTGGCAGGCCTGTCGTTCCTGCCGCCATTGAGAATCTTTATGAGAGAGGAATCTCTGATTATTAGGTTGGTTTAGCCCTAAATTCCTTTTTTTTTTAGGGTTCTAAGATCTCATGGACAGTTTTACTCTAATGTTATCTTGTTGACATATTGTGCTTAGAAACAAGTAGGAGCACAACAATTCATGTGAATTTACCAACAATTTTGCTTGCTTCCAGTCTCAAAGAGACTTAAATAGCATGCTCCTTCATACTTACATCATTTTTAACTCATTATATCATACCTTGCATTGGTAACAATAATAATTACAATTAACAAAATTATTTTTCTAATGCAGTCTGTATCTCTGTGGTGTGCTTACCTCAATTTTGTGCGAGAACATGATCCATCAGTTTGTGATTTTTGACCTAATGGTATTTCAAAGGCAAGACATTTATTTGAGCGTGCTATTACTGCCTTGGCTTGCATGTTACCCAGGGCAACAAAATATGGGATGCATAAATGTCATTGATCAGACTGATATTCAGGTCAGAATGTATTATTATCGTTTATTTCCTAGCTTCTGCCCATCATATTTGTTTGAAATTTTTGTTGCTTAGGTTCACTTATTTTATCATTATTTTTCAAACAGGCAAAGGAGAAACAGGTGCAGTGCATACAGAGGATATTTTATTGCCAGTTATCTGTCCCACTTGGTAACCTGGAGTCAAAACTCATTGCCTACAAGGCTTGGGAGGTTGAACAGGGGAATATTCTTGATGCAGAATCTGATGATGTTGATGGAATTTCTTCTCAAGTTGCCCTAGCCTACAAGAAGGCATTAGAGATGTACAATGCCTGTGCTCATCTGGAGGAAGAGATAGCCAGGCAGGATTCAGTTGAATCAGAAAAGTTTCAGCACTTCATGGTATTTTCACCTATCATCTCCATATCACCTATCATCTGGCCTCGGGCCCGTCGTGTACCACACAATCCTGACCACTTTGAATTCTCCTGTCCTCGGATGGAACCCAAATCCAAAAACTTCCCTTTGATTTGGAAAAAGGTTTGCTGGTGGGACTCTCACAGCGTCTCCAACA